TATCTGATAACCGGTAGTCATTCGTGGTCCTGGGCGTAATTCATCCTGAACAGATCTTACAACCTTCGAGACGAAAGAAGGGCTGTCATTGTCATCCGATGGCGATCGCAGGGACTTTTATACGTCCGGTTAGGCACATTTTAGCGAATCGTGTTCTTCCGTAGATGACGTACAAAAGCCGGTGTCTAGTTCAATTCTATGTAGACCGCGAAACCGCAAGAGTGCAACCTCTGATAAACCAACAATCAGTGAGAAATATACGCATACATAATTAATTATAGGTTATTAGTGAGTACCACGGATAGGTAGGTACGTGATTTGAAATCAAAAATTGCAATAAGCGCTGCAAAACGTAACACCGGTACAAGGTATTTTTCCAATACCTGTTGTTTTTATTTTACCCTTAATAATATTAATGCACATTATATTGCATAACGGTATAGTTTTTAACAGAACGAACTTTTCTAATGACAATTTTAAACAATGAAATAAAAGACAAATTTGTTTTCTATAAATATTATCATAACAAATCCTAAGAGCACGAACATAGATCGGGGGGCCGAGAAGAAACTGCCCCAGGGTGCCAATTCTTTTTAACAGCACAACCCTCTTTGTGGAAACATTTTGTCTTACCCTATGCTTGCAGCTGTACGCTACAATTAAGACTGTAGTTACACTACTGGCCAAATCATTTCATTACGCAAACTCGTAAAATAAAAAACCATTATGTATGTTAGGGTAGTATTGTACGAAGATAAATTAACTATTCAATTTTCTTTAAAACAATTATTTAAGTAATAAACATTTGAATCTGTATACAATGCTTAACGCAAGAGGGGTAAGAGGACTCAAGCCCCCTACCTGTCACTGCGCTTATAAAACGTTCCCTTTAACATTCACTGAAAAGTTTATTGAAACGCTCAACTGTTTTTAAGAAATAATCATACACAACAAAACAGTTGAAAAATGGGGTTTGCAATTTAGTTAATGTCCCTAGATGTGTAATTAATAAAATAGAAAACTTCTAAAATATAGCTTAAAAAATAAGATATTATAACTCGTAGGTAATACTAGAAGAGCTTGGTAGGGAATAATTATATTATTAGATCGAAAAAGACCACAGCTGACTTATATCCGAATCATATATCACATATCACTACACTATTATTTTTATAATTTGAAAAATGTGTAATACACAATTGTCAGAGGAGGCTTAAGAACTATTATTAGAATATATATAAGACTTAATTTCAACTAGAATTGAAAACTGACCTTCAGAGTTGAAAATTTATATTTACTATTTATATTTACTTTTTGAACGAAGAATAATACGATATCGAAATTAAAATTTAGTTTTAAGATATGCTTAAGTTTTCAAGCAGAGTATCGGATTAAAATCAACATAACTTTTATGAATACTAACATATTATATTGTACAGCGACCAACCTCAACTCATTTTTTCCACATGAGTTACGTATTGTTAAATCTGTTCACTGTATGCATAATTATTTCACCAGAGAAACACCACGTATTATTCTTTTAACATTGCGCCTATTGATGGCATTCATAGGCAGTGTTTACTATTCAAAAATATCGTCGTCTGTTCAAATCATCCGATACATTTTACCTTTTGTTGGCAATTATCACGACACCACTCCGTTGGAAACATAATAGGTCGGAAAAATCATTCAAGAAAAATACTTTTGGGTAAAAAAACAAATGCATACAATTAGTTAGGACAATGTAGAAACAGTTGTCCGGTACTTTTTTTATATATTTTTTTTTAAATATTTTATTTGTTTGTCAAGTAAGAATGTTATAATATGACACCGTACCTAGAAAATATTGAAAAATTAATGCGTGGCCCATAATTATTATCATTCATATTCTAACGTCCGAGTAAAAAACATTACAACGCGATATTAAGCACACTGGCTACAAACAAAAAAAAAAAATTAAAAATATAACACTTGAATTGTCTTACAGAATAGATGTAGGACAACTGAAAAAATTAATGAACGTCAAAAATATTACTAAAAGGAAAAATGTCTGTCTAATATTTCTATATACTCTTATGATAACATTAATTTTGTGGGTATTTATCGTTTGAATTTCCAATATCTTTATGCTAACACACCACTTTAAATTCTTTCAACTCACAGAGGGATCTTACGTACGGACTAATTTTTAACAATATTGCTATAGTGTTACTTTGAATAAACATTCAATTGATTAACTAAAGCAATGCAAAGAAATGCTGTGTTTAGATACTTAAAAAGACGGAGCTACTAATTCCAAAGGTACAGGCATCAAAATCAAATGATTCATTAGTATAGTAAAAAATAACAGCTTGATGCCTGATGACATATGGTGTAACCATTTCCGGTGGATAAACGGATGATCGTGTAATTAAGTAATTTTACATTTATTTCTCAAATAATATAACCAAAAACGATAGACAGTAACGGACAAAAAGTAATGACTATATTCGTTACTCGATCGTTCTCATAATGTTAGTCCAACTACCATTTGTGACTATATTGTCATAAATGATTATAATTAATAGAACCATGTGATTCGATTTTGTGTAAAATTGTTTAACTCGTAAACTCGCTTGAATTAACGGTTGAATGTTGAAAACTGATACTAAAACAAAAATACCTCGAAATCCCTCTTCTCCGCAATGTGACCGTAATAAAATATTAACAGTGAATGAGGCGAAAAGACAGAAGGAATTTTCAACTGTACGGAAATGGGGTTTTTAGTATTTTCGTTCCTGAAGTAAGAATGAATGTTATATACGTAAAACGTAACGAAATATATACTTCTGAAACACGTATTGAAATGCACCACGAAATGTACATCCAAACAAGCGTAATATTACACGCGACACCGTGGTATAATGTACGAAGGACCTTTGTGAATGAAATCAGTCCATAAGTTCCCGTCAAATATAAATGTTTTCTAATTTATACGTTATTACGTTATCTCAAACGCTTGTTTCTTTGCGTATCTAAAAACGTAATATATAAAATCCCCAGATGCTGTAATGGAACATAATATTGTGTAATATTACTATCCACACCTACGCACGACCACTAACAACGACGTACATAAGCGTAAAAGTGATGCTCGAAACTCGGTGCGAACAGTACAACATTAACGGTTATCGTTTAATTTAAATTATCGAACGTCAATCTCGTACCCACTTGCGTTGGTCGATTGTTGCAGAGGAAAAAAAAACCGCGTTCATCGCACACGGACGACGTCGGTTGTCGTAAACTCTCTCGTAATCAACACCCACGCGCGACGTCCTTTTATTATGATAAATTGACTAGGTACGTTTCGATCGTCGATCAATGACGACGAAGAGAGTTCAATAGCATTTCACCCGGACACGTCCTACACCGTTCCTTGGTCGCGGCGCGTGCGCACATATACAACCTGTCGGAAAAAATACCTCGTCGAACATCATACTTACGCAGTGTGTTGGTAATGTGCGCACTGCGATGGTTTGGAATAATAAAAAATTGCAAGAACTCGACGTGCGTACGCAGATACAAGCAGCACTCGACGTTTAATGTGTATTATTATCCGTCTTGTCGTGTACAGCAGAGAACGATGACGACAATGGTACCATTAACGGATATAATTGAGGAAGAAAAAAAGGATTTAATGTACTATTAGAACTAACCTGTGGTAAATAATAGGTGGTATTAAACCTCTTGATACTTTAACACGCTCAGATTCAAAACCTACAAATATCACAAGACAATAGAAACAAAGGAACATGACCATATTAATGGCAAGTGCGATTTTTAATTAAAATAAATGAATTCAAATCAATTTAGGATATAGGCTATATGTATTCAAATACTCCAACACAAAAATTAAATAATTAAATATTATATATTTTTAAACTAAAATAAGTATTTCAATTTCTTACAATATATATAAGTGTATTTTTTTTTTACATAAATCAATATATATTTATACATAAATGTAATATAATTGTCATTTCTAAAACTTACGACAAATAGGTTCTACGTTTAAAAGTATCGTCTAATGTCTAAGGTTTATCTATATGTCTAATGAAAAAAAAAAAACACTGTCAAATACAAAAAAAAAACAACACGGTCTATATAAACTGTATATACAACTTTTATAATATAAATTTTATTAAAACGACCGATTTTATATATAAAAAATTGTTATTCGGTCAAAATTGAAAAAAAAATCTTTCTCTTCAACACATTATATAAATATAATATATATTATACAAAATGGATTCATTCAAACCTATGAGACATTGATTTTTCCATCCATCCTGTTGAGATCAGAAATAATACATCACAGGTTGAATGTAGAGAAACAATTTTAACAATAAAGAACGAAAACTGCATAGAGCAGAGAACAATTTTTAAGCTATTATTTTTCTTTTTTTACTTTTTTTTTTTTTTTATTAACAAGAAAAACAATTAGTCTATACAAGATATTTTTACAACAAAGAAGAGAAATTTTTTGTTCAAAATAACCTTGTGTAAAAAAATAGTTAAAACAATGAGATCGTTTCAGTCCCATATTGGAAAAAATTCTGTTTATAAATTATTTTTAATTATTACTCTGTGATGCGCATAAACTTGAAATATATTTTTGATGGGAAATTAAATACGTTTAAGGTGATGTATAACAGATAGCGGACCTACTGATACCCTCCCCCTGTTCTCCCACACCCGCCGAACAAGTCTCTTTAAATAATACAGCCTAATATGATCATCCGATGTAAATACACCACCTTGGGTTAAATTTTGATTAACGAATTGAATTTTGACAGATATTTCTTTGGAAACTTGTAAAATTAGATAAGAGACCAATGAATCTTTGGATTTTTATTATTAAAATTGAGATCTTCTCGAAAATTGAAATATTAAATTGTGAAAAAAATCCTTTAAATAAAAAACCAAATTAAAAAAAAAACTTTCTGATGTAATTTAATTTAAATTTTTAGTGATGCTTTCTTACCTTTTTTTTATAAATTTTTCAACAAGCTAAAATTAAAAAGTTAAATGTATAATTGCACGTTAACATTAAAATCTAGAGCTAATACTAAACGTACAGGCATTAAGCTATGCTTAACAATATTATGATTAGATAAAAGTTTATTTTTGAAAAAAAATAAACTTTTCTAATAGAATTTTACGTTAAATTTGTATTGACAAATAAAATAACAACATTGGTCAGCGCATAGGCGGCGGAATAAAATCGAACAATATTCGTGAAGGAGATCAAAAACAAAACAGTATAAATATTAATTGTTTAAAAAAATACATATTTTTAAAATTTTTAAAATTTAAAAACACCTGTACAATAACGATGGGTTTGAAAAAAAAAATTATACACACATAAAATAATGTTATATTAGAGCATATTCAAGAAGAATATCCTGTAGAAGACAATATATATAGTAGTTATAAGACTATCTATTTGGGAGATCTCGAAATTTTGAGTCGAAAATGAGAAAAACTTTTGGGCACTTGGATTTTATTCTTATTTTATAATATATTTACTCTCTGTGCATCATTCGATTAGATAGCCATCGTCGCCATCGATCGGCGACTTCTCTTATTCGCGGATGCACCCAACTCTTCGTCCGCAATTTTATTAGAGCGCAATGATCCAGTGATGCTTAATGGTCTCTTCTTGGTTTTAACCATGAAATCTAAACGGGAGAAAAAACAAAATACGAACATTAGTAAACACGACTTCGGTGTAAAACAACGTTAAAACAGTCGCTTGCTGGGGAAGGGGTAATCTAATTTTACTTAAGAATCGAACAACACACAGGCCGAGGGCAGCGACCTCCTACACTCTCGCGTAAAACAGGAGAGGAACAACGGAATAATAAAAAAATATATATATATTAAAGATAACAACTCTGACTAATGATAATATAATATAATACACGCTGGACCACGCCCATTGAGCAATGCACTTTTTTCATTTATACACACGCATATTTATATTATATATATTTTTTTAATCATCAATTTACTTCGTGTCCGAGAGTCGTTATGTTCCCCACCAAGTGTATGGTGTGCGTCGTACAGATATACACAATATTATACGATTGTGTGAGTATGTTATGAGTGTGTGTATTTGTACGTGTGGGACGAAAAAAACCGGTCTCCCGAACACGTGTGCACATATGCAACGCGAGCTTATTATTATGGGCAGATCCTTGTAGTATATAGTGACACTCCTCTCTCGGGTGGAAAAAAAATAATAATATTATGTCCTCGTATACACACAATCGAACAAACACAATATTAATAATAATAAATTTACATAACCTAAAAAAAAAATATGCGCTGTTCCTAAAAAAAAATTCAAGGTCTTTCTGCACTGAAATTGTTTTCGCGCCATTTCACAACCGTACATCAACCGCGTCGCCACTGCCGCCGCAGTCATAATTTCGTGTACACAATACACATGCATAATATTTATATATTTTTTTTTGAAATCAGTAATGAAACTAACGGTAGACCCTATTGTGGACGTGACATCGTCGAACATAAAAAGGATGAAAATCACAGATTTTATCGACTGAAACCAATTGGTGGGCGTGCTAAAAACGGCGGCAAACATAAATTAAAATTTTCTTCGGGTCGTACGTGCGTCAAGTTTTTCAAAAAGGGTTTAAAGTAGTAAAAATTAAAAAAAAAACTAGGAGATAAGCATTAAACTGCTGCTGTCCCCTTTCTATTTTACATTTCGTATATTATCCGACATTTTATTACGTTTTTCCCACAGTGGCAGCAGCACCCTTCCCCCAGCAAGGGTTCACTGCACCCTAATACACCACGCAGGTGCCCATTGTGTTCTCGGATGGGGGAGCTAGACTACAGGCGTACATGAGCGCACAAATGCTGGTTGAAAATGAATCCACCCACGGACAAAAAGAGATCGATGAGGCCGGGCCCGGGTAGCAGAGAAAGCGTGACGAAAAATAAATAATTAAAAATATGGTTTACCTGTGAGTTTGGACTGTCGAGGCTTGCTGGCGCTCCTGCGGAAATCTTGTTGTTGAGCCGTCGTCGAGTCCGCAGCCGAAGACACTTGGTCACGTCGCTGCGGTGGACAGACGCGTTCCCACGCATAACGGTCGGCCGGGCTGTCGCGTAATGGGCGCTCGTTGACGAAATCGAAGTTCCACGACTGCGAATCAGCCGCGGTGGCCGCGCACAGTTGACGGTCCAGCCACGCCCGCGTCTCCGCCGGGTCGGCCGGAGGGCCGAACAGCACGCGTCTCACGCTCAACACGGACGCCTTGCCCGTGATCGAAACGTTCGCAGCCGACCCGTTGTTGTTGTTAATATTGTTGTTGTTGTTGTTGTTGTTATTGACGTTGCTCAGCGAATCGGTTTTGGCCATGAGCACACGCCTGCCGTTGCTGGTGTTGTTATTATTGATGTTGTTGTTGTTGTTGTTGTTGCCGACGGCGTTGACGGTATTAGCAGAGTTGACGGCTCCGCCTCCGTCGGTCGTCACCGTCACGCCAAACGTAACGGTCATGATGTTGACGAGTAGTGGGGTTTTAGAAAAATAACGTTTTATCACGAACCGAATAAACCGGCAAAGCAAACGATTGGTGCAGCGAGTGCTTCCTCTCGTTCAAGCGCTTCTTGAATAAGCGAATATAAGTGTCTGGTGTTTATTCCACTCGATCTTCGGCAAGCAGCAGCACTGGAGTACGACTTATCGACGCACACGATAACACGGCAAACGTGCACGGCGCGAAAATAATCGTAGTAACCGTAAACGCGCGCGCGAATCACTGAAAGGTTTAAAAAAAAAAAAATTAAATAAAACCGAGTTTGTAATCGATATCGCGGTATATCAAAATAGCGCGGACAAAAGAGTTGCGGCGGTGAAAACGATAAAACACTGCGACGAATTACATAGACAACAGCACACACAAAATGGACGACGACGATGACAACGACGCAGCGTAGTGAAACAACACGGTAGTTGCGTGAACGGCAATCGGTGAGAGAATGAAATCGGGTCCGGGTGTAAGCGGCGTCACCGCCGAGGTCACGTATACTATGGGCTGGATGCGGCGGCGCGGAGTGGGGCGGCGGCGATGGTCACGTCATCCACGCGCGCACTCGCACGATCGCACGTAGCCGCGCGGGTCCCCACCGCCCATCCCCGCCGGGTCGACTGACGAATCCACACGCGTGCGTTTAGTTCGCGATGACGCCGCCGCACCGCACCGCAGCGCTCCTCATAACCATTTGCTCTGTTCCCCCCTCATACCTCCGCTTACCCGCCGATCATCGCTCACCGATGCCCGCCCTTCGTCGACCGTCAACGATGTTCGGTGCGCGCGCGCGCTCGTTCCCGTTCCGCGTTCGCCGGTTTCTCGGTCGCGTTTTTCTGCCGCCCGGCGTGGCGTCGTCGGCCTTAAGTCACCGCTCTCTCTAGCTCGTCATCCTCGCACGTCCCGCCCGTAGTACACCGTAGCCGGGATCTTGCGCGTGCGCGCGTCTCGTTTTTACTATACCCGCCGCCGACGCGCGCGTCGTACCTACGCGCATATAGTACACACAACACGCGTTAGTAATAATCGTATAGAAGAGGAAGAGGATGGAAGTAAAAGAGGACAGAACGCAGTGAGTGAGTGAGAGAGAGAGAGAGGGAGTGAGAGAGTGCTGAGCGAGAGGAAAAAAAAAATATAAAAATAATAAGAAATAATAATAATAATAAAACCCGGGCCATGTGCTCTCTCGGTCGTCGCCGCTGTGCGTGTTATTATTATTATGTACATAGATGGCGAGTCCCCGACGCGTCGCGGCACGACGATAATGTTATTGCCTCTGTCACGCACACATTCACGCGTAAACACGGTACGCGCACGAGTATAATGGACACAATAAGTGTTGTGCACGAGGAAAGAAAACGCGTCGTGCCGATTCTTTCGATTAAACCGTTCGCGTCACGGACCACGATTCCGACCGGCCATCCCTTTCTTCGCCAACCCTTTCCACCTCCCCCCCGTGGGGGAGCTCGTACGCCGCAGATTCGGTCCAAATATTTACACCGAACCTTCACATTATTTCCGCACGACTATCGTGTTTTGAGCTCACGAATTTTACGCGCTGTCGATTAATTTGACGTTCTTCGACAGGCACACGACGCTAGTCCGCTGGCACGCTTTTTAAATCCTATTAGTTTCTCGGTTCTTCACTGCGCACCGACGTCCTGTTACAGAAACACTAGACTAATTTTATATCTACGAATTCTCAGCGCAGTATCATTATTATTATTATTATTATTATTATTGCTATTATCAATGAATTCAATCTACGAATACGTATAATATCTGTCTAATCTGTACGAACTTCCGGTTTGGTAACAATTATATATTTTCACATGCCCTGAAAACGACGAGAAATTATTACAAAGGATTTTCATCGCAAAATTATTACCGGCCACTTACGTCTTGTTCAAATCTGTTTCGATGTCCTATTGATTTATCTGTTCCATTTATTATTATTATGTATTGAATATTATGGTGGTTACTTGTCGACCGCACGATTATCGCACCTATTTTCTCCCCACGGATATCTTGTGATCCTCTAACCAGAAGCTTAACAAGTACCATGTATATTTTATTTTTATTAAAATTTTTCTAGATTAATTATATATTAATTTATGTATGTATAGTCATCGCATACAGTTTTAATTTCAAATTTAAAATAACTCGTTCTCATCACCTTGAAACACATTTAGATTATTACCTATGAATATATTTAACACCGTTTAGCAATTATTTACAAAAACTTAATATTAAACGTTTCGTTTCAGATAATACTTAAATCACAATATATTAATGGATATCATGATTTTTTTAGGTATCGTTATACCGAAGTTATTATGGTTAACCGGTCAAAAAATGTATTAAAAATGAGTATTAGTTTCATCAATAATATTCTGATTTTATTAAAATTAACTCTATAATGTTGAGTTGATATTACATAAAATCAAAAAATATTTTATCGTAATTTAATTTAAACTATTAAATATAATTTATACAATAAATTCATTCTAGAGTTTAGACCAGCTTGAGACGATGAAATTTGTATGATATAATATGAAACGCGTAAAGAAGAGAACTATTTCTTTAAAATTATCTCATAATTTTTTCAGCTATTATATAAGAACACTAAAACAAAAAAAAAAAAATGTATAAAAAAAATGATTTATCCTATGCACGGATTAATGGATTAATTTGATTCAAACGGACTATGATGGATGTCTTTCATACAATGTTGAATATGTATGTAAACTGCAAAAAAATACAGGAATACTATAATTTTACGCTATTCTAAAACTACTGTTAACTGTAGTTAACCAAGTTAATCTAGTCAAAGCTAACCAGTAGCGTAACCGCACATTAAAATTAACGATAACTATGCATTTATACTTGTTTGCATAAAAAATAATTATAAATAGTTATTTATTACAATTTCATTTAGTATAATATGCTTTTCTTGATAGTTTGTAAAACATTTTATTTTTGTTAACCAAATATCAAAGGGTATTGCGTTAAAATAGAATAAAATTAATAAAAAAAAAATTAAATAAAATAAAAAATAAATAATATATGTTTAAGAAGTCAAAGAATAAGTAAACATGTTAATTATAAGGCCGATGTATTTCTGTAATTATTGGATAAGTGTGCTCAAGCCTATGAAATATATTCGGAAGGTATTTTACTCTGACCATTGTCTTAATTAGGAGAGGGTTGTTCGAAAGTGGTACAAAATACGTCTAGAAAATAAGAGATGGAGAAAAAGAGAAAGAGTTGTTAGTGCCTTGTAAGGTTTCGTTCTGTGTGGATGGTTACCAAAAGGAAGTATCCAAGGATTTCCACGGATGACTGGCCTACCAGTGTCCAGATATTCGTAGAAGCAAGGGCAAATGAAAAAAAACATAATTCCCCTATGCGCGCCATCGGTGTTTAAATAAATCTGTTTGAAGTCACGGTAAGTATAAAAGGATGTTTTATGTTTTGTCACAGAACATTATGAGAAGTTAGATCAAGAATTTCAATTAAATGGTTATTTTCGACATAATCTGAAACATTACAGAACACTGAAATGACATTAATATCACGTACGATTTATAACTCTGAATAATACTAAACCTTCTTCTTCGAACAAATCTCTAAACTATAAAAACTGTTAACAAAGACTGTAAAGACTAAAATACCTACTACCTAGTCAATAGGTATCATAGAAATATTATTATATTACAACATATTGTCTAATAATAATTCTGAATAGTGCATTTAAATATTTTATGTACTGCTATAAATTACAACAAAATAATACGAGATTCATCATGATTTATTACAACACAATTTGTGTTTATTCTTTTATAAAAATGCTGACTATTTTATATTTACTTTTAAATAATATTGATATAATCAGATTGCTATCTAGACTCGGGAAAGGTCTGTTTGGGTCGAATACTGAGTAGCATCATTTTTCTCCGTTTGTGACATGTTCTTCTGTTTATATATTGGCTATACGGACTCAAGTGGTATTTTTGTCTTGAAACACATAAATGAACATAATATGACGATTGAAATAATTGATAAGTGGACGGTGATGACTGACGACAAACATTCTACGTTTTAATGTTCTCCCGAGCACAGAATTCATTTTCCAAAATCATCATATTCTTTATACCGTTTAGGCTTACAGTCAAATAGAAATTCTAACCATAACGAACAAAAATTAATTTTCTTACTATTTAATATTTTTGCATTGCATATTAAGTAAGAATTAATTTACTATAAATCAATATACGTATCTAAATTTTATATAAGTAATTCATTTTTCATAATGTTATAAGACATTTTTTATAATTAAATGTATAACCCGGTGTTAAATAAATATTATTTAAAATATAATAAAGTTTATATTTCAGTCTTAACTAGACGTTGTAACAACATGTAATCGAATATAATTAATGAGTATAATGGTTATAATGTATTAGACTTTTGTTAACTCGACATACTCGCACTCGTATAAATACAATATACGTATACACATACGTATATATATATATATATATATATATATATATATGAGTGTGTTTATGTGTATAAATGTATTAACACTAGACAAAACAAAAATCGTTTTTGGTATTTTTATTTTTATTCGTAAAAGTGGTATGGAAGAATTTACTTTTCAATACTATAAAAATGAAGGTTATAAGAACTACCTACACATGAAATATATGTATACCATATAATTTTCCGCCTACTGATATTTATTTAAAGTTTTCCTAATTTGGTATACTCGTGAAAGGTTGATGGTTCTTACCTCTCCCCATTTACGACAAGACGCTGTGGGCGATTTGAGAAAACATACTGCAGTACGGACTTATACGACTGAGCGTGTAGGATCAATTTTCACGTTCCAATGTAATACGATAAAACGTTTGATTAATATTTAATGTAATAAGCTTTTTTTTTTCAAACTATTAAATATTAATTAAAATTTTTTGTTAAATTTTTCCACCACAAATTCAATGTTAAACAATAATCTTCTGTCACCGCCACCGACCACAGCCAGAAGGCGTCTTTTCCAAGATTATCAGCAGCCAACTGATGCTTTGAACATCGCGAAGGACGTCGAACAAAAGTTCCTTCGACAAAAACAAGAACAATGGAGTTTCGATTTCATCAATGATATACCAGTAGAAGGGCTTTGGCAATGGAGTATTATTGTAGCTGCCCGCAGTTATGACGAGTGCTGTACAAAAGTTTGATTGCAATATTTATTTTATTGTACTGTATTATGTTTAACGAACGTTAATAATGATTTGATATATTATAATTTGTTCAAAGCTGTAGTCCTTTTCGCAGTCCTACATAGATAATTAGCGTAACCATGCATATAACGACATAGTATTTACACAACATTATTTTGAAGATTAGGTCAAATTTAAGTACGATAAGTCAATAACTAATGAACAATAGTACAATACCAACAAACAATAATGACATT